CCAATTTTGTTTTCTTCAAAGAAGTAAACTAAAATTACCATGAAAACTTCACAATCCCAGCGACTAACATCAGTTCAAAATGGAGAAACAAAAAAAAATGATTAAAACTATATTGATCAAGCATCAATAAAAATGCAAAATTTCTGTTTGAGAAAAGATATATTTGAATAATTAATTAAAGATTAAAACTTACATATAAATCCAATGGTTCATATTAAACAAATTCTTCAAAATTCAGAAACATCAATAGAAACACAAGATCTAATTAAACAAAGCTGATGGGAATACCTTTAAGACTACTTGAAAAACACAAAATCTATACGTAGTAGATTAAGCCGGAATTTATTGACCAAAAATCAACACTATGGTAGATGAAGAGATTGAGATTGCAACGACTGGATCCACAAGAAATTTTGATGGTATGCAAATTGAATTAATTAGGTTTTCTTAGTAATCGATGGTGAAATTAAGCTGAAAAACGGGAATAATTTTTGGTGAAAATTTTTGGAGGTAAATAGAGTGGCTATGTCGTGAGTTTTTGGATTTAGGCTTTGTTATTTTTTATTTTGATAACAAAAAAATTATATTTTCTCTCTATCTTTTCATTTATTTATCTTTCACTTCAAATTACTTTTTGGAGGAACTAAAATTATAAATAGTATAAGGAAATTTTTTTCACTAATTATTAGCCTACAAATATGTCAAATATTTTTTGTCTGCAAAAGATATATCTTGCCCATAAATGTTTCTGTCTAGGAAAGAAAAAAATTTTGTAGGCACAAGGCATCCTACCATTGAAAACTTGAAAAAAATCATAGCCCTATAAAACATCTTTTTTGAGGGAAAAAAATGAATCTCGCCTACAAATCTTAATTTGTCAATGGAAATTTTGTACGGAAAGGCTAAATTTCTTGAAGTGAATGATTTTTATGATTTTTTCACCATCATCTCCTTTTGACTTTCACGGAATTATCAGAAAAGAGTACATATCTCCAGTGACACATAATCTAAGTAGATCGAATCAAATCAAAATAAATCAAATATGTTCACTCGAATTTTAGGTAAACCAAAACAAGAGACTCAATTTGTCACTACGTTCAACAAATTAAATGAGATATAACATTTTATATTTTGTGATTTTGGATATATTCAATGAATATAAATTATGCATCGATTTTTAAGTTCTAACATTCACATATGTACATATTTTACTTTTTAAATTTGATTTAACATATTTATATTCAAATGGATCAGATAAAAAATTCGTTACGTCAAAGTAAAAATTTTATAATGTATTTTGAAATTGTCATTTTCAATAAAGTAGAAAAGGTAAAAATTTAAGTTTGTGGATTTAAATATGCAAGTTATTTGTAGTTGTAGAATTTTGTAATTTTTTGACATGCTTGCTTATTGACAATTTATTTCAATCTTTGATAATTTTATTGTTTAGTTCTTCATACTCAAGATATATTCTTTTTTTGTAATTTTATTTCGTACTTGAATTTCGTTTTCTATCTCTGATGCGGAATCTAAAAATCAAGATTCCAAATTTTCATTGAGCAAACTACAAACTCTTTAAGTTTATTTTATTTTCTTCTTATCTCTTTATTGAAAAAAAAAATCATTTCTCTTTTTGTATTTGAATTTTCAAATTCCTATGCCTCAAAATAATTACCATTCTCCAAATTTTATATTTGTGTCCATATAAGGTCAGAACTCTTTTCCACGATAGTTTCTTTCAATTATGTAGGAAATTCGTGTTTGCATCTATTAAGGAATTTTGTTCAATTTATTTTATTTTTTGATACACAATTTGATTAATCTTCTTTCAAGGTTAATGAATCTATATTCTTCACTTTGATATATTTTTTGTATCTCTACTCGAAATATTATGTGCTCCAATAATCTGTATAGGTGTGAATATTTTTATATTATTTACATGTTGTAGATTATGTGAACTATAAATAAGAATGTTGTGAAATTTTTAAATGGTAATTTTTAAATTATGTTAAAACTATCTCATTACTCATAAATAGCTAAAGGTAAAAGTATCTTAGTAAGTTTGTGTATATTTCCTCCATTGCTATTGATTTTAACATACAATAGAATATGAATCCAAATTATATGCAGTGCCATCAATTAATTTAATTATTTATGTCGAAATTTAGTTTAATTATCATCCCGTATAAAGGAGTAGCAATCCAAGTTAACTCTCAGTTTATTTACAAAGTCTATTAATTTTTTTATTTTTATTTTTTGTAATTTATATATATTTGTTGCAAAGAGAGGTATATGAAGTCGGTTAATCACAATGGAGTCATTTTTTTCCGTACATTCTATTAACTCCAGCAAATGATAAAGGATATCAATTGAAATTCAAGATGAAATAATTTTCAATGTATCCATGCTTTGCAATGACAATTAACAAAGTTTAAGGACAAATAGTGCCTATTATTGGAATATACCTTTCTAAACACGTGTCCTCATTAGTAACTATATGTCGCACTTTCTAGCGGTGTTTCAATGCAACCAACAAAAATCTTGATAAAACCAGAAAATAAAAAGAAGAAAAGTTATTAGACGTTGACAAAAAAATATTGTATACAAAAAATGTCACTACAATCAAAATATTATTATATTTTAATTTATTCAATCTTTTAACATTGTAATATACATATTTCATAATAAGTTTTATTCATAACAATTATAATATTTCTTTAACAATATAAATTACTTTGAGAAAAAGTATTAGCACTTCAAAAATATTACCCATATTATTCATTTGATAAATAAAATGTACAACACACATGTTTACTACTAGTATACTAAAAAGTCGATCTCTTTAGACGGATTCAGTTAAAGTCGCACTAGAATTGGATGTGCATATGGTTCGGATCGTGTCATGTTTTGTTGGCTCAGTGAACTTGACTTCTAATTAGAGGAAATCTAAAGCCTTTCTGCTAATGCTAGATTAGACAGACACATTCAAATAGTTTTGATGAACCTGCACTAGCCTCCTTTATCGTATGGAAGTTTTTGTCACATAATAGTTCAATGGTGCTAGAGCACGTACCTTGAGAACAAATTCTTAGTTGTAAGGTAGTGTCGGAGTCAGATATTTTCAATGGGGTGTCAAATTGTATTTTTTTTTTCCTTTTTAAACAACGTAATAATAATTATGGGTTGAGACTTGCGAATGAAAAGAGAGGTGGTCTGGCGGCTAAATATCAACGGCCGCCTCCGATGTTGACTTGTTGAGCAGTGTCGAATGTTAAATTCTGTTGTAGTTTGGACAACCTATAATATTATTGTTTTTATTGACCCTAAAAAAATACAATTGTTTTTATTATCAAATAGCTAAAACTAAGGGCACAAGGTCCAAACAATATAGGTTTGTTCACGAATTATCATTAAAAATTAATGCCTAAACAAAACAAATAATAGATTAGTGACAAATTAAGTTAGCACAAGTCAGAGAACGTCAATCTATTCTTGCAAAGGAGGAAATTTGCTTGCACTCTTGATCCGTAAGTACTTAAAATCAACTGCTTGAGTTCCTTAAGAACCTGAAGTTTTAGTTAGATTTCATGATCACTTGGTAGGGCGTCAATAAACTTACGAAGATCCATGCATTTCTTTGCGGAGTATGACTTCTATTGAATTAATGGAAATGCAAGGAAATCCTGTAGTTCTTCGCCAAAAAACGATTCCCCATTTCCTGGAAATAAATCTTTGAATTCTCTTAAATAATTTAATTCTTAAAAGCCGTAAAGTCAATGGCAAGATCAAGCTTTACAAGCATGGGTGGACCCACATGGTGTCATTTTTTTAATTTTTAATTTTTGGTTTTTTAAATTTGTAGTAGTTTACTTCACGGCTTACTTTGACGCTCTCGTTACGGGATGTCAAACGAAGTCAAAATATTGCATTATTAATACCATTTCGAAGTGCTTAGAGCCTAGTTTTTCGCTTATTGATGGCGCTTGAAACGGCCACCAACAACAAAAGTTACGATGCGTCAAAATAAGTCATTTCAAACTAACATTTTGAAAATTTCGATAATATGCTAACTTTAAAAATTCGTCAACTATCGTACTCTAGTCTGATTCACAAATCGCCTACGTCACTTAGAATGCCGTTTCGAGAGTTGCATCTTATTCATATTTAATGGTCCAAACGGATATCAAAAATGGTTAAACGTGTTAAACACACGTCTCTAAAAAAGACGTCTAACTCATATTTCCTTTAATTTTTTTTAATTATGTCATTAATATTTATTATTTTTGCACAATAAATTTCTCAATATAATTTACATTGTTTTATTAGCAAATTTTACATGGAGTATGACATAAAAAATTTAGGATCGTTATAGATTAAATGTAATTTAAATTACTATCGAATTAGATTTGAATTTCATTTATTTCCAATTTGAATTTTATTTCAATTCATTTATTTCATACATTTAACTTGATTTACTCACAGTCGACTCAACATTTGTCAACGAGATGGTACACAGAACTATACAAGTAGCAAAATCTATTTGACAATATTGATAATGATATAATTATATGACATTTTCAAAGTATTAAGATGAGTAGACTACAATTGTAGTATTGTATTGACTTATTTTTATTATTATGTTGTCTACAAAAAATTGCATTTTAATATATGACCCCGCAGTACAAAAGGTCTGAATCCTCCCCTATTTAGAAGCCTATGAGTACAAATATTACAGCAAGCTCACCAACAGCAATCAACGACAATCCACACAAAGAATTTTCTTTTATAGTTATTTCCATATCACAGTTCTTACCATGTATAGATTCGATTCTCACCTATAAATTTATACAAAATCATTGTAACAAATATGGAGGAAATAATATAAACTTCAATTCTTCCCTCAACCATACCTGTGTGTGTCGAGATTTATTATGGTATCAGAGCAACCTCCTTCCTGCGGCCTCTTCTGATTTCTCTGACTTTCGAAACCAACAACCACCATGTCTGATTTGACATCGTTGACACCTTCACAATTGATCAACGACCCCACTTCACCATATTTCTTAACGCCCGCTGATAACCGTGGTGGTGTACTCGTCCTCGATCTTCTCACTGGAGAAAACTATGCAGCCTGGAAACGCTCGATGCGTATGGCCCTTAATGCCAAGAACAAACTCGTCTTTGTCGATGGAACTCTAAAGCAACCATCCAAAGCTCAAATTGCCAACCTTTGGGATCGTTGCAGTGATATGGTTCTCTCTTGGCTCTTAAATTCCATCGATAGACACATTAGACAAAGTTTGATCTACTGCACCAAACCTTCTGATGCATGGACTGATCTGGACAACCGATTCTCTCAAAGCAATCACCCCCGTCTCTACCGCCTCCAACGTGATTTGGCTAACCTCAAACAAAAAGCCATGTACGTCACCGCATACTACAATACAATTAAAGGAATCTAGGATGAGATCAATGCACTAACCAATGCCAACCCTTGCACTTGTGATGCTCGCAAAAAAGGTCGAAGACACAGCCAATACCGAATGACTCTTTCAATTCCTTATGGGCCTCAATGACTCCTTCTCCAACATTCGAAGCCAAATTCTCGCCATGGACCCCTGTCCACAATCTCCAGAGCATATGCCACCATACACCAAGAAGAGACACAACGCCTCCTACAAATTCCATTGTTACCCAATCCCGAAAACTCGACCATGGCTGTCTCATGCACCAATTCTTCGGTCAATTACAATTTTCGTTCTCGCAACAGTAGAAAATGCACAAAGTGTGGGAAAGATGGACATCAAGAAGCCTCCTACTTTGAAATCATTGGCTACCCCTCCCATTGAAACGCCAATAAGCCAAAACAACCCTTGCTGTCCGCACCTGTCAAAAATCGGCCACAGGATTCAGGCAGTAATCGGCCACCCACATCGAACATGGTGTCCCGTACCTTAGCCCCTTCCATGTCAAGTGCAATCCCTGGCTTATCTGATGAGCACTACCGACAATTGATGGAATTGTTGGAACCCAACACCGTTTCACACTCAGCTTTCTCTAGTATTTCTCTATCACCTCCCCAAGTCGCCCCAGGTCCCTGGATTATAGATAGTGGGGCTTCAGCCCACATTTCTTGTGTTTCTAACTTACCCAAAGCCTCACATGTTTGGGCCCATAGTCAATCTCTTACATTACCCATAGGCGTCAAGGCCCAAGTCACACATATGGGCCACATCCCTATTTTTCCCCATTTATGTCTACATAATGTTCTTTTTGTTCCCGATTTTAAATACAATTTAATCTCAGTAAGTCAACTCACAAAATCGTCTAATTGTGTTACCAAATTTTCCTCTTCTATTTGTTTATTTCAAGACCTACGCACGAGGAAGCTGATTGGGATGGGTGAAGAACGTGGAGGCCTCTACCATTTTAAACCGTTTAATCATGTTGCATTTCAACTCACAGTGAATCCTGCAGCCACACAGGACCTATGGCATCTTCGTTTAGGTCATCCTTCAAATTCTTGTATTCCAAAAATTTTATGTGATTCAAATAAAGTTAGAAATTGTGATAGTTGTGTTCGCGGTAAACATACGCGCCTTCCCTTCAAACTGGTCGAAAATAAAAGTATTTTTACCTTTAACTGAATTTATTGTGATATTTGGGGCGGATATTCCACACCCTCTACAACTGGTGCACACTATTTTCTCACAATTGTTGACAATTTTTCACGTGTTACTTCTATATACCTCATGCGTTTTAAATCTGATACATTTACTTGCCTAACAACGTGCATTAAAATGATCCACACGCAGTTTAATTGCCCTATCAAACATATTAGGTCTGATAATGGTCAAGAATTTCTTTCTCATCGTATGCAACAGTTCTTCCTTGACCATGGGATCATTCATGAGTGCACTTGTATTGAAACACTCCAACAAAATGGTGTAGCAGAACGAAAACATTGTCACTTGCTAAATATAGCTCGATGTCTTCGCTTTCATGCACATTTACCTATTTCCTTTTGGGGTGAATGCATACTTACTGCCACTTAATTGACTAACCGCATACCAACTCCCATGCTTGGTCACAAAGCGCCTTATGAACTCCTTTTCAACAAACCTCCTACCTATGATCATCTCTGTGTCTTTGAATGTCTTTGCTATGCATACACTTTAAGTGTCCACCGGGACAAGTTCTCTCCTAGTAGCACACCATGCATATTTCTAGGATACTCTCAAACTCCACATACCTATCGTGTTTATGACTTGCAAATCAAGAAAATTTTCCTCTCTCGTGATGTCTACTTTGTAGAATCTACCTTTCCCTTCGCTCCTACCATGCAACCTTCACACACATCATCAGATACCAATCAGCCTCTAGATGTCCCTTACAATACCCCACCTCCAACCTACATTTCACATGACACTCCTGACCCATCTCCTTCATCCGCGCCAGACATGGAACCAACTATACCAACACCACAAGTTGTTGATGGACCCACCAACTCCCTAGAAATCGTCACCAGCTCACCCCCACCAACTAGACCTCAACGCACAATCACTCGTCCCACATATCCTCAAGACTACATTTGCTCAGATTTACCTCCAGAGGGACCACGTTCATCATCTCATTCCCAGTCTTTCTTAGGTACGGTTCACTCTCTACCTAATTTTCTTTCTTATCGTTTCTTTAGTCCAAAACATTTTGTTTTCTTCTCTTCTGTCTCCAAAAATGTTGAAGACCTCGTGCTTTACTCTCAAGCTATTCTTCGAGCCGCATTGGCAACAAGCAATGGCTTCCGAAATTCAAGCCCTTGAAGCCAATCACACATAGACCCTTGAACATCTTCCCCCTGGTAAGAAGGCAATTGGTTGCAAATGGGTTTATAAAACAAAATTGCGCGCCGATGGTTCCATTGAACGCATAAAGCTTGTTTGGTCACTCAGGTTGAAGGTCTTGACTATAATGACACTTTTGCTCCTGTGGCTAAACTTGTTACTGTTCGATGTCTCCTTACTATAGCTGCAACTAAACACTGGATTCTTCAACAATTGGATGTTCACAATGCTTTCCTCCATGGTGATCTTGATAAGGAAGTGTATATGCGACCACCACCAGGAAATTGTCGTAAAGAAGAGACTCGCGTTTGCCGTCTCCACAAATCATTATATGGTCTCAAACAAGCCTCACATCAGTGGTATTCAAAATTATTCCATGTTCTCATCCTTGCAGGTTTTGATCAATCTGCTGCTGATCATAGTCTCTTCACCAAAACCAAGGGTACAACCTTTATTGCCGTTCTTGTCTATGTTGATGATATCATAGTTGTTGGAAATGAAAGCTCTGCCATCAGTTCTATTAAACAACATCTTGCACAGACCTTCAAAATCAAAGACCTTGGTGATCTCAAATATTTCCTAGGGATTGAAGTTGCTCGATCTCCTAAAGGCATATTTATCAATCAAAGGAAATATACCTTGGACATTCTTACTGATTCGGGTGAACTTGGCTCTCGCCTGGCATATTTTTCCATGGAACAACATTGCAAACTTAATGATTCAGATGGTGATCTTATGGACGATCTTAGCTCATATCGACGCTTGATTGGTTGTTTGATCTATTTGACCATCTCGTGTCCGGATATTACCTTTGCAGTCAACATTTTTAGTCAGTTTATGCACACTTCGCGCAAGCCTCATCTACATGCTGCTATCCGCTTGCTCCGCTATCTGAAAACTACACCTGGTTATGGACTCTTCTTTCCATCCAGTTGCAACATTCAGATATCTGCTTTTTGTGACTTTGATTGGGCAAGTTGTCCACTCACACGACGCTCCACAACTGGTTTCATCATCAAATTGGGCGATAGCCCCATCTCTTGGCACAATAAGAAACAAACAACTATTTCTCGCTCTTCTGCTGAAGTTGAATATCGTGCGATGGCCACTACAACTTGTGAACTTGTTTGGCTTCGCCTCCTTCTACAGGAACTTACTGTGCCGCATCCACAACCTATTCTACTTCACTGTGACAATCAGGCAGCAATCCACATTGCACGTAATCCGGTCTTCCATGAACGTACCAAACACATTGAATTAGATTGCCATCTTGTTCGTGAAAAAATTAATTCTGGTCTTATTACTCCCTCCTATGTTTCAAGCTCTCAAAAGGTAGATGATCTTTTTACTAAACCATTGGGACGTGAATTATATGTCTTCTTTCGGTCCAAGTTGGGAATTAGGAACCTCCATGCTTCAACTTGAGGGGGAGTATTACAGCCAGCTTACCAACAACAATCAACACAAAAAATTTTCTTTTATAGTTATTTCCATATCACAGTTCTTACCATGTATAGATTGGATTCTCACCTATAAATTTATACAAAATCATTGTAACATATATGGAGGAAATAACATAATATTCAATTCTTCCCTCAACCATACCTGTGTGTGTCGAGATTTATTAACAAATTCGTTTCTTATTTTTAATATTATTTTAATTATTCGATGACCATTATCTAAACAAAATAATATATATCAAACAACTAATATCATAAATACTATAATTTCTTTATAATTTTCATAATTAGACAATTTTCATATGTTGTAAAGCTGGAAAGATGAAAATTAATAGCGCAAGACCCTTTATAAGGTAAATGGATCGAAAAATCGTTCTTACTAATTTAATGCCTATACCAACATTAATCATGAGGCCCAAGTAATGGATCCAAAAACTTGTAAAAATAAATGACATGACTATTATTTAATTAAATTTTAAATATTACTGTCAGCATTTTTTTTTTCTAAAAATTCTATAAATTTATAGTAAACATAAAAATGTAAAAGCCCAACTAAATTTTACAAGCAATCATTTTGGTAGCCAATCTTACTCCCCAAACACACTCTTTATCACGGTTAACCAAAATCACAAATTCCTAAATGGAGCCTTTTTGAAACTATACAAAAAATCGTCTCCAACCATATGATTCTCCAAAAATCCCTAAAACCCAACCGGAAATTACACCATAGATATCAAGCAAAACCTTCCAAAATATTATTACACCAAATCACAATCGTTATCTGCATTGATGGCAACTCACAATAGCAATTCCAATTTGTGCTCCCGCAAGAGCATGCAAACAGTCGGAACCAAGAATACTGATTCTGATACAAGTCTTCCTACATCACTTGCCTCTATATGGTGAAAATGAAAAACTAATTGAATCACTATATTGCCATTGCTCTAACTATATAATTTATCCAAATACCAAGTGATTTTGAATTTGTTCTAGCTACAGACTTCAAGGAGCAAAATAATTTCCAGTAATTTACTTGATCAATCAATATATTAACAGACAACAGTTTGAGTGACTTTCAGACTTCATCTTTTTGTTCACTTTTAATATGTAAAGATCCTAAAGGGGTAAAAGTTCTTATGCCAAATGGTTACAGCAAAAATT